CATCGCATCATTCATAATGTCCAAAGTTTTCCATCTCAACAAAATGTCCAAGACCCATTTCAAGAGCAAGAGAATTCCACCTTTGAAAATTCTAACGTGTAAATTTTGCGAAGAAACTGAACACGATCTGTTCAGTTGCGAGGTGTACATCGAATTGCACGACTACCTCATTATTTGCGAGGATTGCCGATGTGTTGGGCTTGAATCATCTGAGAGTACGGAATGCATTAACTCGGGTAATTAGCGTTGACACGGTAAAATCATACAAATATTCTTACTGTGTATGACGTATTAACTTTGGGCATTTTTTAAAGCAGTGACGGCATCCTTTTTTCTTAACCAAACAATAAAAACAATTTCCACAACTGTTTTCGACATCACTTTTAAGCAGATTACTTTGAAAACATATTTTCAGCATTGTTTGAAGAACACTTGGGAGGCGGTAGGGGGGCTTTGCCCCCCACCCGGGGTCTGAAGCAGAGCCCCAGTAAACTGGTCCCTGGAGGACAGATGCTGACACGCAGCGAAGCAGAGGGACCAGTTTATTACACATAATTTTACACAGTGTACAGTAATCTTTACTTTTTTAGGCATATATCATTGTTAGATACGCCATCTCAATCTTCTAATCTTGACATGACCTTGAGCGTTGAGAATATAAGCAAAAAGTGCTTTTCAAAGAGAGTTTTGCTGCTGAGATCATAATAGTTATTGTGTGCAACAAAGAAACAAGAGCTGCACTGTATACTGCTCTTCTCTCTCCTCGCATTTCAATACTCACTTCTAATCTTCACTTCAATCAACAAACATGTGAACTCCAATTTGCCCTTCATGCGGCTTGCCCGGCCATCAACGCATTTCGCACCGCAACTGTCTTCATAATCCTGCTCGGTTGCAAATGCGTCAGCAAAATGAACTTGAAGCTGGAATTGAAACCGAAGAACGCGTTCCTATGTGTTCAAGCTGTGGGAAAGAGGGTCATCATCACTCCACCAACCGATTGTGCCTAAACAATCCTGCAAACCAGGCTGCTCAAAACGTTAGTGACCATATCTATACCAGCTATACTTGCTATTCGTTGATACATAGTCATCGGCTGTCAGAAGCTTGAGCATTCAGTATATCAGCTAATGATCCTTTACTTCATGTAGATGCATAATATTGCCCGTGCTGTTGCAGCTGTGATTCCTCCCCGACACTATTTTGGTCGCATAGACAGGGAATGCTCTAATTGCCATGCACGTCTTTGGATTCAAGAGCGCATCTCAAACTCTTCCCAAGTACGACCTGCATTTAGCCTATGCTGTGACCAAGGAAGTGTCCAATTGTCACCCCTTTCCCCCACCCCTCCTGAAATTTCCCGTTTGTTGCATGGCACGGATGAGGCCTCCACCCAATTCTGCACAAACATCCGCGCATACAACAACTCCCTCAGTTTTACTTCGCTTGGTGTCCACGTTGATCAGACAGTAGCCAAGTCCATCGGTGGTGCGTGCAACTTCCGCATCCACGGTAGTGTCCACCATCGAATTGGGTCTATTTTGCCTGCCGACAACACAACAAGGCCCACTTTCACGCAAATCTACGTTCACGACCCGTCGACTGAGCTGCAAACCCGACAATCCGTCATAAACGCTACGTTGATCAATGAAACGCTACAGACCTTGCAGGATATGATGCACCGCATCAGCCCATTCACGACATCATTTGGCAACATGGCCGAAATTGCTCACAATGAAGGCATGGCGGATGTGAGAATGGTTATCAGGGCTGAAGGGGTACCCGATGCTCGCCGCTACAACCGCCCCACTGCTGGCGAAATTGGCATTTTGATCGTCGATGATAATGGTACAGATGTTGGCAATCGCGATATCGTTCTAAGAACGAGATCAATCAGCTACAAAACATCAGTGAAATGCATCGCTTTTATGATGCTATGCATTATGTTCTCCTTTTCCCCTAAGGTATACTTACAGAAAATGATTTTGTCCTGAGTTCCATCATGAGTTATTTCCATTGCATATTAAGTGTTCGTAATAGGAGATGAAGGCTGGACGATTGAGGCTCGCACTGATGCCGGCAGCACAATCACTGTCATGGATTGGTACAAGTTCCGGCTCATGATACGCGGCAATGACAGTGATGCAAACAGACATGATCTTCATCGTTTCGGCAACCTGTATCAGCAATATATCACTGATGTTTATGCAAAGATGGAGTCCAATCGTTTGAGCTTCATCCGCCGTAACCAAAACCATTTGCGTTCGGACCTGTATTGCAATATGGTAGACGCTGTGCATCTTGGAGACAATGATATGACCAGTGTTGGACGGCGCGTTATCCTGCCATCATCCTTCATTGGTTCCCCTCGGCATATGCAGCAGCTGTACCAAAACGCAATGAGTATTGTTGGTCGTTTCGGCAAACTGGACATATTCGTCACCTTTACTTGCAATCCTCGCTGGCCTGAGATTCAAGAAAATCTTCTTCCCGGTCAATCAGCATCTGATCGCCCTGATCTGTCAGCATGAGTTTTCAGATTGAAACTTAAGCAGCTTATGAACGATCTTACCAAGGATAAGATTCTGGGCACTGTTGTCGGACATGTCCATACAGTAGAGTTTCAGAAGTGTGGTCTCCCACATGCCCATATATTACTTATTCTTGCTGGAGAAGATAAGCCTACTAGCCCAGCCCACTGTGATGCAATTGTTTCTGCCCAACTTCCCGACAGCAATCATCCTGCACGCGCGACAGTTGAACGGCATATGATGCATGGTCCTTGCGGGCTTCTCGACCCACGCTCACCATGCATGGTCGATGGTAGATGCTCGAAGCACTACCCTAAACAGTTTTCTGACGAGACACAATGGAACGACGACGGTTACCTGCTTTATGTGAGACCTGATAATGGTGACTATGTCACCAAAAATCGCGTTAATCTCGACAATCGCTGGGTTGTACCGCACAACATATACCTTTGTGCCAAATATGATGCTCACATCAACGTCGAAATCTGCTCCTCCATACAGTCCATCAAATACGTTTATAAGGGCCACGATCGTGCATCTGCCATAGTGTCACAGCGTCAAGCGACGATGATGATGGTCAACCAATAGACGAGATCCGCACCTACCTCGACGCCTGCTATGTCTCCGCTTCAGAGGGTTGCTGGCGTTTGTTTTCGTTCTCCCTTCACCAAGAATTTCCTGCGCACCAGCGTTTGGCCGTCCACTTGGAAGATGAACAAACTGTTCATTTCGATGAGGATGATACACTCTTTCTGGAAACTTTTTGCGCATACTATGTGTAACATTTTGCGCCAAGCACAAGGAATGGTTTGCAAGTTGCTAAAAATAAACTTTGTCCAGTGATCAGAAAAGACTTGGCACGCCACAATTTTTATATTTCGCATATATCACGACTGCAGCTCCTAGCATCTTTTTCTGCAATCTATATTCAAAATGATCTCGTTCATTCATGAAGATGGGTTGGGAAATATGATGGATGAAGATGGAAAAGATGTCATTATGATGGAAAGCGGTAGCCATCTGTTCCCGGTGGAGATGATCACGGATTACGATCATTACATTTACATGAAACTGCCTGAACGAATGGTGGTCACGAAAGCTGGGTCAGATGAGGTGAAACAGGAAGAGTCCATAACACCAAACCGCAAATCCTATCGATGTTACAAGGATGATGAAAAAGAGGAGCTCTTTTTTCTGGTGTACGAGAAAGGCATGTCAGTACGAGCTGCGGCCCTACAACTGCAGATCAAACCACGTACAGCGCAATATTGGGTTCAGCAAGATCAAAAAGAACCAAAAGATCAGATCGTGAGCAATGTGAGTGGCGGTAGGCCACCAGGACGACCACCAAAGCTAGTCGAAAAGCACCGGCAATTCCTGATTGATTTGATTGATGAAAAGCCCTCACTTGTGCTAGACGAGATCATGGCAAGTTTGACGGAGCAGTTTGCCGACCTCGACATCAAGAAAAGTGCATTACACGATTTCATGACCAAAAAATGCAAGATTAGCCTGAAGCGGGCCCATCTTTAATCAGTTGAACGAAACAACCCTGAAAAAATCGAAGATCGACATGCTTAGGTAACAAAGTGGCTGCAAACTGATATAGACTATCTGAGCAATTGTGTGTTTGTAGACGAAGCCGCGTTCCACATCAACATGAAGCGCTCATATGTTTAGTCGAAAAAGGGCTCTCGTGCAATTGTCAAGGTGCCAAAAACCAGAGCGATGACAACAACCATTCTCGGTGCAATCTCTCCATTTGGTGTGGTAAACGTTTCGGTGCGACGTCCAAAGGCAATGGCTCCATCCAAAATGTGTAAAACAGCAGGCAGTAGCAGAACTGTCGACCAGACAACGAGCAAGCGTGGAACTGTCACTGGCCACTACTTTAACTTCCTCTCGAGTACAATAGACGTTCTAGACAGACACGAAATGTTCAAGGACAATTATATTGTGATGGATAATGCGCCTATCCACCAACACGAGGGCATCCGCAAGTATATAGAAAGCCGTGGATATCGCTGCATATACCTCCCGCCCTATTCACCAGAACTGAATCCGATTGAGCAATTTTGGTCCATTTGTAAAAGCAAGCTCAAGAGAGAGCAGCTTTTGGAAGAAGAGACCTCGACAATCCAAATCCAAATGGCTTGCAATCAGATTCTTATTGGCGATCTTCGAGGATTTTGCAAATATTCTATTGCTAAATTCGATGATTGCTTGAATAGAAGGCCAGTTTAATAAAATGCTTTTGCGCGTTTTGCAAACTGAACAATTGACGTTTGGAAAAAGTTGCTCCTTGGTTACACAAACATTTATTTAGGGAAAAATGACGAACGATGTAAAGCAGTACAACAAGTGAAGGGGAGTGAAGGGGAAAGAAATGAAGTAGGAGGGGGGGTTTTTTTTTGCAAAAGGCTTTCAGTTATATCTGATGGTGCACTCTCTAGCCTTTGAGCTCGATTTGTCCGTCATAGAAAACAAGGTAGCAATTTCCTGCAATTTAGAGGGTGGCGCACTGGTGAATGAAGGAGTGTCATAGACGCAGCAACTCCAAAAGATAGAAGTAACACGCAGCAGCATACTCAGATTCTTGGGTGTGATGAACGAATGAAGTGATGCCAAAGAGTTTGGCACAGTAAGCCGGCCAATCTTTAATATGGTATGTAAATGACGGCCAAGTTCTTGCACCACAAAAAAAATCAGGTGAAATCCTATAGTGAATAAACGAATTTACGGTTTAACGTGCGCCTTCCACAGAAATCTTCCTCTTTGTTGAATCTTACCATTGATTTGGAAAGAGATAATTGGGTGGCCGTTTTTTTGGGCGGCATTCCTTAATAGGACAGCAAGCTTCATTGTGTCGATACAAAGCGATTGATTGGTTGTACTGTCGTCCCCAGGTTTCACTTCACCATAGCCCAAGGACAGACCTAACTTGAGCTGGACGACAGTGGACACGATGGCGTCAGGTCGTATTTGGGGCACCGTTTCCTCCATTTTGTTTGGCCAGTGCAACAGAACTTTCTTGGTGACATCCACAAGTATTGACGCAAGCAAAGGATTAAAGAACCGTGTTTGTAAGTCGACCTCGCCAAACTTCCCCTGGTCCGCGATAGGGTTTTGTGGCATATTGATGAGCCTATGAGCAGAGCGAGAATAAAACGGAAAGATAAGTGAGCCAATGAAGGTTGAACAAACGTCATACACAAAACTTATATATCAGCAATGCCTTCTATTACATTTGCCCGTAAGTCGTTTATACTGGAGGCCAGGGTCAAAAGTTGAAGTCTGGCTTGCTTTGGGCTCATGGTTTTCGCGGCGATTGCAGAAACAACGTCAACAATGATCATGAAGTCGGTTGGGGTAAATCTAGAGCAAGGGGTAGGCGCTTTGTCAAGTAACATTTTTGTCTGATGTGACATCGCTTCGTCGAGAAGCTCCTAGCCAAAAACTGCCATTTTTGCATCGCTGTGTTGCTCTGGAGCCAAAAAAAGAACGTTAGCCAAAGCTAAGATTTCTTGGACATTGGGTTCTAATGGACAAGGTTTTGATATATTGTCTGCCATGCACTGATACTGCCAGAATTTTGCAGTGACGGGGCCAATAATCCAGTGATCCTGTATGTCTGCTGTCGAAGTAGTTGCTAACGCTGGCACTGATGAATCGAGCTTGTCTTTGCTTAGTGTTGAAACACGTGTGTCTGTCATTGATGGTGATAGTGATTGTGAGACAGGTGTGCCTGCGGTTGCTACGACTGGTGGGACAGACGTGCCTGGGTAGCCAACTGGTGTGGTAGGTGCTTGCGAAGTCATGGTTACAGGCGCTGGTTCAGACACATGATACTTCGCCACGGATGACTTGATCTCTTGAGTGTTGGAAATCAAAAGATTGTTCGCAGCCTCTGAGCAGTTGTCATTTGCTTCTGCTAAAGCTTGGGCGCGTCGTTGGTTACGCCATAACTCAGTACAGTCTATGGTTTTTCGCCATGTTCAAATTCGTCTTGAAGTCGACTTTTGTGCTCTTCTGGTATATGAGAGTCCAAGATTATATTGTAACGCGAATGGCAATGCTGGCGGTCATAGTGCTTGAACGTGATCGCAAATGTTTGGACAGACAGATTGGCTACATTGTCGATGCACCAATGGACATCAACAGCTTTAATGCGTGGTCGCTTTCTGGTTAATGTCGATAATGACATCTTGCGCCTAACTTTGCTTTCTTTGGTTCCCGAGTCTTTATCTATTGATAAGCGAAAGCAAAAGAAATGATCATCTCCCAGCACCAATCATTTCCCAGCACCCAACAGACCAAGTGTGACTGTCAAAATAAAGCTGGCCTAGAACATTTTTGTTTTTCTGTTTTCCTTGTTCACCTTCTGTCATTATTGTTTTCATCTTTTGCAAAGGCATTGAGATGCTCGAGTCAGTAGGTTGTGCATTTGACCAGCTGAACCTCTCTTGACACCAACCCTTGGGGATGCATCATTGAATTTGCCTCCTGGAATTGGGTTCTCTCTGCCGGAAGGGATTCTTGAGTCAGTAGGCTGTGCATTTGACCAGCTGAACCTCTCTTGACACCAACCCTTGGGGCTGCATCACAGAATCTGCCTCCTGGAATTGGGTTCTCTTCCTTTACAAAGGGTGTATTTTGGAGTTTTGCTTGTGAATTTAACGCCAAGTTTTTTTTTTTTTTTTACATAGAGTGGCACGAATACATGTCCAACACCAGCAACAACGACGATAGTGCAAACAGGGCATCTTTACTGTAAACGTTTTCAGAGCTAAAGAAGACAAATTGAGCTTGCTGTACAAGCAACCATATGTGGATATAGAGTCAACTACACTGTATGCAACATTCGCAAAAATTGCTGCAGCAATTGTAGTAGCTGTGGAATTTTAGAAGTTTAATGCAAACAATGAAACCCTTTAGCACAAACACAGCAATATTTTGTAAATGAGACATGATAATGTGTATAACTTTGCTGATATAAAAACCTTGAATGTTTATCTAGCTCTTTGACGAGCACTCCCATCACTTTTGACTCCTTTAATAAAATAGTTTTGCTTCGATAATTGCTCCAGTGGCAATGACACCTCTAAAATGCTTTTGTGCATACGTAATACATTGGCCATGGGTAAACTAAACAATTGACAATTGGAAAAAAGTTGCTCCTTGGTTGCACAAACACTTTATTAGAAAATGGGCAATTTGTTTCTCGATGTGTGCGCAAATAATTTCTGGAAAGAGTGTACTCCGCGGAATGTAATCGAAGGCCGTACGCATGAAACAACTTTGACAGCATGGTTTTAGTTAAGGGTCCTCACGGGCCGGGCCGGGACGGTTCTCTGCCAGAACCGTCCCAAGCACAATGTACATCAGAACCGACTCGACCCGGCCCGAGAACCGACCCAAGAACCGAGATTAGAACCGAGTTCTTCAACTGCAATTTCAAGAGGGATGGAATTACACAAGATTACAATGATAATCGCGTGAATCGAAGGGAAGGCGTAATTATTGTAGTGCATAGCGAAATTTGTGCATAGAAAATGTGTTTTATTTCAATTGTGGATATACAGTATGACCGTGCATGGTTGATTGTTGAATTAAAGTATGAAATGTGTTCTAATCGCTGATCTGGTGGGGGAATTTCAGAGAATGCCGGAAAAAAGATTGCTGTATCAATTGTGTAATGACGTGTGTACAGATTGCTGAGAAGAGAATTTTGACGTGCCTTTGGTTTGGTTCGCAGCATTAAACGCTGCGTGCTCAGCAGTGCTAATTATACTTATACTGCTAGTAACGAATGGACACGAACGATTAAAGGAAGAACACTGAAAGCAAAAATCGCGCACTCAGCAGTGGTACAGCTCAGCATGCTGCTGACTTCTAAAAACTTCCTTTTACGAAATGACAGGCGAGGTATTACTTAGCACTATTTGAAGAGAAGCTGCCGTTTGGTATCATTATCCTCAACGCGTCATGAAAAGTATAAAAGCAACAACTTTATTTTTGGGCAAAATAACTCAACTATTTACTTACATACAGCTTGAACCATTCTACTCTATATCCGTACCTTTTTATATCACATCCAACGCAATGACCTACCCAAACTACTCAGTTGGCTCCAGCTCTGACGACGCTCGTGATGCTCTTTCTGATCGCGTAAGATTAATCTAGGATACTCCATCATATGCAATATCACCTGCAACCAGCTGATGATAGTACCATTTTATAGAGAGAGTCCAGCCGTAATTCGTCCTTATCCAACACAAGTCGTTCGTTATCAAGTTTTGTTCCTCCTTCCCTAGCCCGTGATCAATCCAACGTCTCCATGGCGTCAGTCGGTTCGCATGTAATGGACACTGATGAAGAGTGCTTCGATGATTCCGCTTCCATGATCGACCACCAAGAAATCACACAGCTTGCCGGTGACGGCGCGAACATTGACACGAGCGGTAAAGAAAAGCAGTCAGTAAGCAGCTGGGTTCTCACTCATGAATACGGCAAACGCGTCTCTATCAACAGTCAACCGAAAATCAAGTGCCAGCGGCCTGGTTGCAACAAGGTGTACGACGCAAAGCAAGGTAATACGTCTGGGCTTGTGAAGCACCTGAAGAATGTCCATCGAATCACGCAAACAACTGGTCCGCACGTTCAGGGGAACAAGCGCCAAGCCGGCCCAATGGACCAGCATTTCGAATTTAAGCGTAAGCGTACGTTTGAAAAGGGCGCCTTCCAGCGACAATTCGTCAAATTTTTGGTCAAGAGCAAGCTCCCATTTACTTTGGCCGAAAGCGAAGAATTGCAGGAGTTGTTCTACATGGCACAATCAGCACCTACGTAAGAATCCGTCAAGCTTTTGAATGCTGACAGTATGTCGAGAAAGGTAAACTTCGTTTCATGTTTTGTTAAACAAGGATTCAGACATATACTTAACTTTCACTGAAATAGCTGGACGAAGAATACGTCAGAGCCAAAGAACAAACCGCCGCCTTGCTCAAGAGCGTGCCAAAAACTTCTTGCACCGTCGACAGCTGGACCAGCCCATTCCGGCAAGAATTCCTTGGTGTGACAGCACACTGGATGTGCAGATCGACATGGACTCTGCAAGAAGTTCGCCTAGGGTTCCAGCCTTTGGAAGGTCCACATACTGGAGAGAACCTTGCCGACGCCTTCTTGAAAGTCTTAGATGAGTTCGATCTTTGTTCGAGGCTTTTCACAATTACTAGTGACAACGCATCGAATATGACCAAGATGATGACCGTAATTGAACGACGCGCGAAAGAGAAAGATTGGTAAGTTACTGGGATTATGCTGCTTTGCCAAGATACTCATAAAAAACTATGTACTCACCAACAACTTATAAAACCAAGGCCATTCCGCAAAGACATCCATCATATCCCTTGTGTTGGACACGTCCTTAACTTGGCAGTTCAGGATATCCTGCGAGTTGGTCTTTCAGCGCAGGCACCAGAAGAAGAAATCGTTGACGACGACGAAGAACAAATGCCTACCAACTCTAATGTACTGGTCAAACTACGAAGAGGCGTTACCAAGATAAGGTAGTCATCAGTTAATTAAGCATTAAACTATTTTTCAAGTGATTAATAGGTTTTGATCTATTACCTTAGATCGTCACCGCAACGCTTACAGAAGTTCCTGCGTACCTTGAACAACGAAGGCTGTCCCAAACTCAAGCTCATTCCTGATGTCCGTACTCGTTGGAATTCGACGTTTGAAATGATCACGCGGGCTATCGCGGTCGAGGCTGGCTACAACGCAATGTGCACTGAGGCGCTGGCACAGTATAGGTTGACTGCACAAGAATGGGAGCGCCTGAAGCAGATCCGTGCTCTCCTTGAGCCGTTCGAGAAAGTGACCAAGAGGTTGTCAGCCAGCAAGTCGCATGCCACCATCAACCTCACCATCCTTTGCTATAACCATCTGATGGACAGGCTTGAGGACCATAAGACCAGCCCATCCACACCCATCGACCTGTGCGAAGCAGCGGAAGTCGGTCTCGTTAAGCTGCGAAAGTATTACGCCAAGACTGACACATCCAACGTTTATGCGTGCGCCACTGCAATGGATCCTAGCCTGAAGTTTGTCTGGTGGGCTAAGAGCGGCTGGGAAAGGGAATGGCAGGAGTATAGCCAGCAAATTGTCTGGGATACCTGGTCGACGTTCAAGGATCGCGCGGATGTCGATATCGAAGTGAGCGAGCAGCTGCAGGAGATGTATGCATTGTACTGGATCGACCGAAGCCAAGACGAAATAGAGGAATACATTGGCGAACAACCGATGATGCCAATGGTGGAAGCAGGCAAGCACACAGAGCTAATCTTCTGGGAGTCCCAGTCACAGAAATGGCCGAACTTAAGCAACATGGCTGCACAATACTTGGCGGTGCCAGCAACATCGACTCCTTCTGAGCGTTCTTTCTCGGCAGCTCGACATTTGCTACCGTACACCCGCAATCGTTTGTCTGAGGAAACCATAAAAAAGTTAATGCTTTTGAACTCCTGGTACCCTTAAAATTTTTTGGCTTTTCCTCTATTCTCCTTTGTTCCTGCTAACTCCGTCCCTTTTCTCTTGTCTTTGCACTTTCTTTTTCATACTTTCTTTTACTCCACCCATTTCACAACCTTTCTTTTTTTAATAGATAGATATAAGTTATATAACATATTGATTTTTCTTAGAAGAAATAAATAAACCTACGCTCGGAAAAACACAACTTCACTCGTCCCTCCATTAACAATTATTCTTGCACAGTCAATGCATTTAGTTGCAATGACACGACGAATCTATAGTCGGTTCCTCAGTTCCAACCAAAGAGAACCGAGTCGGTTCCGGTTCGGTTCTTCCATGGGACCGGCCCAACCAGAACCGACCCGACCCGTCTTTTGGATCGGTTCTTCGATTCCTATGAGGATCCTTAGTTTTAGTACAACCAAGAGAACCCAGACGACGCCATTGCCTCTGACCTTCTTTACGTCAATTTCCCGGAGCACTTTGTATTTGTTCAGCGCACACGTTGCTGGAAAATACGTGAACGAGGTTTTGGTAGTACAATCGGTCGTGTCTATGTTGTTTCCCCCCGCGAAGTTGAGAAATTTCATCTTCGACTTTTGCTGTATCATGTTGCCGGTGCCACCAGCTTTGAACTTTTGCGGACAGTAGATGGTGTACCGATGCCATCATTCCAGG